CGCTGGTCGGGGAAAGCGACGCGGCTGGAAACCACTGGAATCTGGCAACCCTGTCACGTGGCCAACGGCCACACAGGAACCCCCCCAGGCTGCACGCGGCTCCCACGCTGCCCACCACTGACCCAGCTCCTGCCTCGGGGTTCACAGAAGGCAGCCCCGTGGCAAGAACCCCTGGAAGACGTGTGCAGTTCGGAGGGGTCCAGACGAGGGCTGAATGGGTTACTGGCTAACTGGTTACCTGGTAAGCATCACCCTTCATGGGTGAGACTTACCTGGGAATGGTTAACCTAGCAGCCTCCCACGAACGGGGGAGCAGGGCTGCCGGCTCCCAGTCCACAGGGGCTCAGAGGCAGCAGGCTTGTGCTGGGTGGAAGCAGCAGCATGGGTGGGGGGGTTCCTCCTTCCTGCCCCCCCCCGCTGCCACTTCCATCCAGCAGGAGCCTGCTGACTCCCAGCCCACGAGCCTGCACGGTCTGGTCTGGGGACTGGCAACCCCACCCCGACTCCTGCCTCCCTCCCTCTCCTGTGGGGCTGGAGCAGGCTCTACCCATGGCACAAGGGCTGCTGCAGCCTGGCCATGGCAGGCGGGCAGGCCTCTTCAGCCCAGCCAGCTGGAACAGCCCCCTGCCTGCCCCCATGTCAATCAGTTAACCAGCGAAACTGAACATTTAACCTGTTAACTAATTACATGGGCTCTTCCATCCCTAGCTGGGACCATGCACAGAGCATTTCAATCCACGGGAAGGGCTGTTTAGCGCACAGGCTAAGAGTGTGCACAGCCCCCTCTGGGATCGCAAATACCCCCGAAATACCCATTGGGCACTTACCCATACTGTTCACACAGCTCTATCTTGGAACAGAATAATTCATCTACCGCCCGCTGAATCAAGTCTCCATGAGGAATTTCTTGGGGAGGACTGAAAGAGAGAGATTTGATCAGATGTTTTGTCCTTGCACAGTACCAAACCGTTCCACCACAACGACACACTCAGGCATCCCACAGCGAGTCTTTAGAATGGTAGCTCTTGTGCAAGAGCCTTGCTACTTGAACTTAAATATCGAAAACATTTGCTCAGAACGCCAACCCCACGTTTGCGGAACAGCACTCCCGCCGAGATTCACGTCTATCAGCTGTGCCATCCGCTAAAGCTCAGCTCATCTTGTCGTGGTCCACGCATCTGTGCGTGGTGTGTGCTGCGTAATAAAGCCCAAAGGCTCTGTTCTGTACTCTAGGATCACCCGCAAGATCGTCCTCCCTCGTGTTTGAGGTTAGTCGGGTAATCCAAATACCTTGTGCCTCAGAAAATATATATAGAAAGAGTAGAGTACAGACAGGAGGCCGGTGCTTGGTTGACTTATTCATCTCGCGTTTCAGACAGAAACCTAAAACCTGTGTTCACGCGCTGTTCCATACCACACTCCCTGGTCAATGTGTTTACAGCACACCTTTTGAGTAGAGGGATTTTTTGGTTTGCAAAACAGTACAAGACCCCCACCTTAGGCACACTCAGACAGACTTCACTGATCAGCTGGCCTGTCTGTCTAAAGAAGTGATGTATTTAGACTCAGAGGGTAGTGCACACTTAGGTTACAGCACGAACGTTTTAAGAGTCCACTGGACAGGAGACAGTTTGAAAACAGCCAACAGCTGACAGTCTCCTGTATGGAAGGCATCAAACCTGAACTACTATTGCCTCAAATCACAGATCCAGTCATTAAAAACTCACACTCAGCATGAGAGGATTAGACAAATGTGTCTTTTTTTTTTTTAAGAGGTAGAAGAGTTTACAGCACTTACTTGCATGTGATTTCTTATCCAACTATTACATCAGCAAAGAATGGTGGAAACAAAGCCTTAATTGCTACACCTATTGCTGTGTGACATTAACTAGAAGTGTGAGTCAAGCACAGAACAGGTAGGTAGCATGTGGCCTCTCACGCAGAGTAAGGTTTGGAGGGGGCAAGGGGACCTGACTAGCTAAGAAATCAAACACTCCACGCTGAAGAAAGGCTTTCGTCGATGCTCAGGGCCGACAGCGAAAGGGTAAACGTTCAAAACCGAGAGCATCTAAGTCCAGCAAACTTTCAAGCTCATGAAAGCCAGCCCCTCAATCTGCGAGATGGACGTTCTGAAGTGACAGCGGAGCCCTGTGCCTTACCATGCGGTCACTATGCTGCAGTTGTAACTTTAGCTCATGGGCTGCAGCTGCCTGCTAGTATACAAACCTCATGGGAGAGGTAGACAGGATTCCAGGAGAGGAGAGTGAAGAATCACTGATCATGAGTCATGCTGGTACCGCTGATGCGGCAAGAGCTCTCAAAGTTTCTACTAGACAGATCTGAGAGTCAGGCAGTAAGCTCCATTTCTAGCTCAGTCAGTGATCGTTCTGAGCAGATCCACTGAATTCATAACCCCAGATTCGAGATTTGGCCTCACGAACTTCACTAAAACAAAAAACAGGACAATGTAGCACTTAAAGACTAACAAGATGGTTTATTAGATGATGAGCTTTCGTGGGCCAGACCCACTTCCTCAGATCAAATAGTGGAAGAAAATTGTCACAACCATATATACCAAAGGATACAATTAAAAAAATGAACACATATGAAAAGGACAAATCACATTTCAGAACAGGAGGGGGATGGTGGGGGGGGAAGCTATCTTACCCAATTATCACCTCTAATATCATTAGCTCACAGATATTAACACAGATATTAGCTCCCCGCCCATCCCCCTTCTGTTCTGAAATGCGATTTGTCCTTTTCATATGTGTTCATTTTTTTAATTGTATCCTTTGGTATATATGGTTGTGACAATTTTCTTCCACTATTTGATCTGAGGAAGTGGGTCTGGCCCACGAAAGCTCATCACCTAATAAACTGTCTTGTTAGTCTTTAAAGTGCTACCTAGTCCTGTTTTTTGTTTCAGCTGCACCAGACTAACACAGCTACATTTCTATCACTGTACTTCACTAAGAAATCGTTCTTTAAAAAGTGCCTTCCTACAGCTCCTCCAGGACTCGCTCCTGAGCCCCGCACCCGGTTCGGGCAGTCAGCCCGTGAGGGTTGTCCTCATCAGACCCGCTATGTTTTAGCGTAATGCTCTCTGGAGCTGGGTACACGGTGAGAGTTCTAAGCAACAGAGCAGAGATGCCACAACCCGCTCAGTAACGTAATGCAGCGTTTCAATGGAGAAGCACATGACTCCAGCATCTAGCAGCCTCTGCAGTGGTTTGGGAAGCGTTAGAGAAAGGCCCTCTCCCCTAGCAACCTACTGCCCCAGTTCCACAGGCGCCGGAGCCTCCCCATTTGAGACAGAGCTGCTAACAGCAACTCAGACTCCCTCTCCCTGTGGCTTTTATTCCTGTGAACCCCCCTCTAATTGCTAGGTAGAGCTGCAAAGGTCACCAGCACCTCACTCCTGGAAACACATTTACTCGGTTAGTGGTGGGACAGGTCAACACAACAGCAGCGTTAGACATTTATTCTTTACTATGGAAGTAACAATCCGTTTCAGGCCAGTAATTCATTTTGCAAGTGTTAATCTGCAGTCGAAGGACCCGGCCCGAGTGACAGGCACGGCTGGAGAGCTCTTTTTCCGTCACAGTAAGCTGACAGCTACGAATGCAAGAAAGCAATTTTCATGTCACACGCTCCAAACAGAGGGAAGAAAGCCCAGCCAGCAGCGTTTGGTAAATAGCTCTCCAAGCCAACATTCCCACCGAACCAGCTGAGCATTACAAGCAATTTAAGCTTTAGCACTGCAGAATATTAGAGACATGCTCAGCTGCAATTAATATGTTATTTTTAATCACACTGTCAACCAACCGTTGGCCAGAAAGGCTTGTTTCTAAGTCTTCTATAGCGAGTTCTTAAAAGGAATGATTTGAACACACAGGGTATGTACGTTTGCGACGGTTACCTACAGCCACAGACGTATTCTAGCTCATAAGGCCCTCTGGCAGCTAATACTGACCACTGCCCCCTTTGACAGAGAAGTTTATTTTAGTAGCGTTGCATGCCAGCATGAGCTGCAACTTACTTTATGATAACTGTTCTCTGCTGATCTTCCTGCATACGAGTTGGACACCTCCAATTTGAGCAGTAGCTTTCTTGAATGGTAAACATGAGGCTTTCTAGATTCTTTGTAAAGTTGTCGTGCTCGTTTCCAAATAAATCAATTTCCAATGAAGCTTTGTGCACTTCAGATTTGTACTGTCCTTTCTCCATCTTGTCCCAAATCCAAAGCAGCTTCACTGTCGTAAAGTTATAGGAGTCCATTAGGTAGAGAAAGCAGTCGACAAATTCTCTACCTAAATGAAGGGAGAGCTCTCGGGGGAAGTGTTCGTTTTCATGCAGAATGACATACAACAACATCAAGAATCCATCTATCGTACAAGTGTTTTTCAAATTTATTTCAACGTAAAGTGGTGTGCAAGATACAGCTTTGCGGCCAGCTTTGATAGTAAAAACCCCTCCCCAAGGGAGCACAGGCCTCCAAAACGAGCGGTCCTGATCATAATTATTTTTAATTGATGCTTTGATCTCTTCAAACAGTGTCTTCATCCTGCAATTAAGAGAAAAAGTATTAATATAGTGTACCAAGAGCATACATTTTTGGAACGACTACATTTAAAATACAGCGAGTGGATCAGAACTTAAAATAAACGAGTATACAAGACTTCCAAGACCTCTTGGCTCCTGCTAAGAATCAAATGGCTTTGAGATTTCCTAGTTTATATGTAGGTTTCTTCCCATTTGACCTGGCTAATTCCCCATCTCCACTGAAGAAAGTCTTAGTGGAGATTAGTTTTAAAGCACGAGTGGGTATTAGACGCATTAAGCTGTACCCCGAAGATCAGTCTGCAAGAAGGGATGAGTCACCAGCATACGCAAGATGCTGTTCGCTCCCCTAGGGTCCAGGCAGGCTGACTTGCTAGCACGAGAAGTGTTTTCTTGCTGAATATAACCTGGGGTTAGTCACTGTCACAACTATATAAGTGACTTTAGAGGACAGTTATCAGAGAAATGTGAGGCCGTTGTACTGAGTTCAGTTTAGTTAAGTAACCTGAAATCCATTCACAAGGAATCCTGAGGCATATCCATCTTAAGCACCTCAGGAAGGGTTTTTTGGGGGCCAAATGTCTGATTTTCATAACCTGCTAGATAATGCTGCCTTCGGATCCCAAACCATTCAGTGCTCTAAATGACACCACGTTACGGAAGAAGTATTCATCCAGAATGAGCGAATGTTTATGATTGTTACCCTAGAGCTGCAGGAAACGGTCAGGACCCTCTCGTTTTAAGAAGCACTAGCACTTAGTTACAAACACCTTGAGAACGGAGGTTGTTCCTAACTCTCAAATGTCCGTAACTCTGACCAGCACATTGTGTTTGTTCCTTCAGAAGTTTACATCTGAACATTGACTTAATACATTTTGTGTCTTCACCACGCAGAGGAAAAATGCCAATAGCATTTACATTTAACATAGCACTGTACTTGGGGGTTTTAGTTTCTGCTGCTGCCTGATTGCGTAATTCCATTTCCAAATGCGGCGTGTGGTGGAGGAAGCCTAGTGTCATGATAAATATTTACACAATAACTATTGTAAAAACCTAAGGCTTTCTGTGGATCCTTATAACTTAAGGCTTCCAAGTCTCAAATGCATTTTATTCTTGTAGATTGAGTTTAAAGACACCAGTTTTGTTTTGTTTTTCGGGGGGGGGGAGAGGGGGGAGTTGTTTTTTTAACATGAGAAAAGAGTTGAGCCCATATAGCACCACACTTTTTACCAAGGTAATTTTCTTTCAGGGTGCGTCTAGACTGGCAAGATTTTGCGCAAAAGCAGCCGCCTGTCTACACTGGCCACGAGAATTTGCGCAAGAACACTGACTTTGTACTGTACAAAATCAGTGGCTCTTGCGCAAATACTCTGACGTTCCCACTCACGGATAAACCCTCTTGCCCAAGTATTCTTGCGCAAGGGGGCCAGTGTAGACAGGCAAGTTAATGTCTTGTGCAAGAAAGCCCGACGGCTAAAATGGCCATCGGAGCTTTCTTGCGCCAGACAGTGTCTACACTGGCACAGATGCTTTTGCGCAAAAGATGTCTTTTGTGCAAAAGCATCCGTGTTTTGTGCAAAAGCATCCGTGCCAGTGTAGATGCTCTCTGGCGCAAATACTTTTAACGGAAAAACTTTTCCAATAAAAGTATTTGCACGAAATCATGCCAGTCTAGACGCAGCCTCAGCCTTTATTTCAAATGATGTCCCACTAAAGACAAGAGAAATGTAGACCACCACTACTTGTGGCTCCTAGGAAGGAAAACAATGTGGACTAAAGCTGCAGCCCATTTAGGCAGTAGGCTCGGTTAATTATAAGAAACTCAGCACAAGTCATTACTCTTCGGCACGTGAGCTTTGCTTGGTTCTTTAGACCCCACGTTCTGTGCCAGTACAGCCTGAACAGGAGAGAAAGCTCAGGCTACAAGGTGACAAAGCACAAGCTGGGACCGAGAAACGGGGCTGGGCAGGCAGAGAATGGAGCGAGCACAGGGACCGGAGAGTTCAAACGCTCAGAGGCTTTGAGAGAAACGTTCCTAAGTGTCAGGGCATCTCCCCAGGCAGGCCTGCTCAGGGTCCTGCCAGAAGCTGATCTGCAGCGTTAGCTCCCAGGTCCCAATGGGCAGGGGCAGCTACTGCCGTCTCCCTGGGGCTCTGCGCAGGGCCCACACCACCCCGCTCGCCCGGTGCCAACAGCGCTAAGCGGGCAGGCAGCCTGGCCTGGCCTGAGAGGAGCTCTGCAGAGCTGGGTGCAGAGCAGGCCCCAGCGTGGGCTCCTCCCCAGAGCCAGTCACTGCTTGGGGAGAGGGGCCCTCAGGGCAGCAGCCACCTCGCCCAATGGAGGCGGTGCAGGGGGAAGGGAAGGGGAGGAGAGGGGAGGGGCACTGGGTTGGGAGTATGCCCCTGAGACGGGTCTGCTGGGACCCGCACTGCGTCCAGCGAGGGGGGGTGGATGGGGAACGGCGCTGCAAGCGGCAAACCCTCCACTGCTTTGCAGGGAGGCGGGGGAAGCCCCCCACGACGGGTCTGCTGGGACCCGCACTGCGTCCAGCGAGGGGGGGTGGATGGGGAACGGCGCTGCAAGCGGCAAACCCTCCACTGCTTTGCAGGGAGGCGGGGGAAGCCCCACACAGCCGCCAGCGACGGGCCGACTGGAGACATC